AGAAAAGGATTTGAAGACGCGCCAAGACACGCGCCTATTGAAATTTGAATTAAGTCTATCTAAAAAAGGATACTGCATCGTATGGCCCAACGTAAATATAAAAGGAAGTGAAATGCTACATAACATTAACACCAAAGTCCAAAGGAGCCGGCGTGAGCTTCTAGGGTTTGTTTCGCGACAACCTACCACAGAGGAAAAACAAAATGCACACTGAATTGGTTGAGAACCCTGAAATCACTAATCATGTGCTGAGATTCGACGCAACGACAGAGTTTCACCAATTGGGGGTCAACACTGAAGTCATTACTCTTGATGATGATTCCGATATTCCATGCAACGATGAAGTTTCGCTTGTTGAGCACCCCAATCTCGAAGATATGTTACTGCTTACAGAAGTCGATATCCATGGGCTAAGATTTGTTGATATAGATGAAGCGTTCGAATTTTGGAGGGAGTATGGGCTGGCCACTGACTTTGATGTCAGAAAAGAAAATTTTGGCCGGAATAAGGACAGAGTGAAAACATGGCAATGATTTTTGTGCTCTGTGGAGGGAAAGAAGCACGATTCGCTGCACGAAAGAAAGAGGGAGTCAAAAGAAGAAACAAGATTCAACTGCGGAGCTAGGATGCACGTTATGTATAACGCCTTTGAATCGAACTGGTTTATATATTTTTTTTATAACGAACACACTCACGATGCGATTCCCAAACTATACAGACACTACGTGGAAGAGAATTGACGAATGAGCAATGTAATTAAAGCAACCATTATTTTTCGAAGAGCCACAAACATGAGGACACATTAGATTGTTTATTTAGCCCTAGAAGAAGCGAGAGGCTACCAGAAGATGGGGTTCATAAGGAAGGATTGATACAATTTTGTAGACAAAGATCGGAAATAACAAATCAGTGAGGGTGATGCTGCAACCACCCTAGCATACCTACATGTAAAACTCAGCGCGAACGAGCAGTTTGTCCTAGAACTCGAGAAAGATTACAATGACCGACTCATAAACCTGTTTATGTTAGATAGCATTTTGGTCGCAGATTGTGCATGCTTTAGGGAGTTATTGGCATTTGATGTAATAGACAAGAAGAACGCCTACAACTTTCCGCTAGTTATATTTTCTGGTACGTTCATAATGTAGACAAACTTTGCAGAGAATGGCATGTCATGTTTGAAGACTGCAAGCCCATTTTCATGGACTCACTAATATGCTTCTATTTTTGTAGGAGTTAACTAACACTTCAACAATTGTATATTTGGATGTGCCTTGTTGTCTAGTGAGTAGGAGGAAAATTATGTATGGGCTTTGGGAGCAATGCAAAAATGGCTTGGTGCCGAACCCAAGACTGTCGTTACTGATGGGGACAAATTCATGTGTAATTCTATTGAGAAGATATTTCCTGCTGCAACACATCGCTTATGTGCTTGGCACATAGAGAAGAATATGAAAGGGAAGGTTAAGAATTCCAACTTTTTGTCAAGATGAGAAGAATTTGTGAAAGCTGATTGGGAACCTGAAGAGTTTGAAGCCAAATGGAAAGCTCTGATCGAGGAGTTGAACCTAGGTCATATCCAGTGGTTAACCCACATATTTGAACAATAAACGAAATGAGGGTACGCATACATGCGCTCCAAGTTTTGTGCAGGCTTGTCAACAACATCCAAATGCAAAGGTATGAACAACCAACTCACAAAGTATATCGAAAATACTCACAATATGCTTGAGTTCTTTATCCATTTTGATCGTTGGGCCACAGACATGATGGAAAAGGAGGTGCAAGCTAATTTCGAGTCCATCCAGCGAGATCGAACCATTACCTCGAATGTCTTACCCCCAACTTCAGAAGAGTGCATCCAAATCATATACGAAGAAGGTGTTTTTCAAACTAAGTGCAGAGATTGAAAAGTCATCAAACTATACAAGGGTGGATAGGGAGACCTCGGGACTCCAGCACAATTACAGTATAACAATGTTGGGCATGGACAAGGTTTACCAAGTCACCAACACGAGTGAGCCACTGAAGATGGATTGTAGCTGTTAGTATTATAGTTATATGGCATTACCCTGCGCTCACATGTTTTTTGTGTTGAAAGAAGAAAACCTTGTAGAGTTACCACAGCAGTTGGTGAAGTTGAGATGGTCAAAGCATCCTAAGACTCTAGAAAGAGTACACGACAATAATGTTGATGTGGCTCGACTTTTCACTTCCAGATGATGGATTCTTCATAAAATTAATAGATTGTCACACCAACTATTGAGGAGTTTCCTTTGTAGAATTATTCGTCTATAACTTGCCTCTCATTTCAGGTATGGAATTCTCCAACAAAAAGCTTGCAACTGTGCTTGAGGGGGGCAAAATTGAATGACGGTTTCAAGCATGCTTTCAAAATCCTTGACGTCTTATTCGAAAATTTAGATAAGATAAACATTAGTGCTCCTAACTTTCCTAACATCAACAAACCCAAGGAAACCCAAAGGCTCCTGGACCCACACCTAGTTTACTTTAATGGGGGTAAACTAATGAAGAGGAAGAAAGGAGAGCCACGAGAATGTAAGAGATGTGGAATCCATGGTCATAAGGTAACCACTTGTACCAAGCCGGAGGATTACGTCAAGCCTAAAGAGTTTGCTGCTGCTGTTGCTAGAGGAGGAGGCGGTGATTCAAATAATGACAATAACGATGATAACCACGACAGAGATAATGGTGTTGACCCAAATAATCGAGAGACAGGACCATCTAATCTTCGAAAACCAAAATGTTGCCGAAAATGCTCATCAACCGCGTATGATGCCATGCCGTGTCCACTTTCTGATTCTGCCAAAGAGGCTGCCAAAAATAGTGATGAGGATGATGATCAGGACAACTCTGGTGTGCAAGTGGAGGCAATGCAGTGTTCTTATTGTGCATGTAACAATAAAAATTTGATTATCCATCGTCTTTACAAACTTGGTGTGATTTTGGTCTTACAGAAGAGGCCGCGCACTAGAGGGGATTTTGCGAAGAGGCAGCATTAAAGAAAGCAGAGATTTGGAGAGGAAGCAACGTCAAAGGAATTAAAGCTTTTCGATTTGGAGCTTAGAGTGTTATGAAGACTATTATTTTGGTTGTTTTTTTTATTATGGTATGATTTCAATGGATACTGGAACTAAGGGTATTATCGACATCACCAAGGTTATTTTATGTTGCTCTCTTTACTACAAACCACTGGAAGCAACCCACAAATACGAGAATATACACCAGTAAGTGTAAAACGTTATCCACAATTTCACTGCAGTTGAATATAACGTATCTGAAGAATATCATAATCACGATAAAACTAACCATAAATTTTTTAAGCGGAGCAGTAATTGTACAAAGAGAGGCACCAGTTTGCTTCGACGTGATAAGAAAAATTACAAATAAAAACCATGTCACACAAACCCCTGGAAGTACTCCACAAACACAAGTAGGACATAATGTTCTGAAAAACTTGATTTAACTCCTACAACTTTGCATATTTACTACTAACTTAGTACTCAAACTTTATAAGCCAAACTTTTGGCCTTCAAGTCTTCAAGTAACAAATTTTCTGGATCCAACAGCCGCTTCAGGGTGATAGCATCCCTTCTATCAATTATCACTTTTTTGCTCCTTCATTCCAACATGAAATCCTACAGTTCTCCTTCCCAACACTCAGCCCAGTTCATCGTAATCACACCACAACTTCTCCCACCTTTCTGCCTCACCACTTGTGGACTTTTCCATGGAAACCCTTTGAAGTTGAATTGATCATTGCTGCAGACCCCGAGGTATGCAATGGGATACTTGGCGACCAATTATCCAATGTCCTTGTACTCTTTCAAGCTATGAGGGTTGATGATATCCAAGAATTGGAACTTATCTCTCAAATTGACAACAAATGTCATGTAGTGTCTATTATTGAGATGTGGAATGATCTCCTGCCAGTCAACAAAAATAAAACCACATGATATTGTTTATACCAGGAACAAAGAAATATACTCCACAATCAAAGCAATAGATACCATAAACAAAGAAGTGGTAAGAAACACCCACATAGTCACACGTCTGGAAGTCGACATTATGTGGGATCCATTTGCAGGTTGCAATTTGAAGGTCAATCTCAGCAAAGTAATTTGGCTCTACGAACTCGTAATCTGGTTCATTTTTCACGATATTGGGTCAAGGTCGGAGATGGATCTTCCTTTCACGATCACAACTCTTCCCCCACCACCCCCGCCAGCTCGCCCGTCTCCGGACCTATTTCTGTGGCTAAGCCTTCCGACAACTTCCCCGTCGGATTCGTCTGAGTCTTCGTCGCCGTTCCTCCTTGCATGCCACCAATTCCATGTTTGTCCTCCAAGCTCTGCCGCAGCTCACTAGATCTGATGATTCCGTGATTCAATCAATCAATGCAATGTCGGTATGGATGTAGACGAAGGTTGGATACATCGGAGACATTAAGATGGAGGTTTGTCGATCATGGAGTCGGCGGCGACGGCGGCACATTCACATTCAGCGGCCGCACAATTCTTCAGATGGGAAGAAACTGAGAATTGAGGCAGTGAAAAATAGTCTCCTCCGGTTGTTATATTACTTTCGCGGTGGCTTCAGTATAATTCATTGGCCGGCGTCTTTTGCTGTGAGGGATTAGATTAAGTGGTCTTTGTTGGGTGAGAGGAACAAGAGGGTTCGGGTAAGAGGAGAGAAGAATCGGGGAAGAAGTTAAAGTCAGGGGCCTAGTTGCAATTACAATTAAGTATAAATTATTTTAATAAATATAATATAGTTGATTAGTTAATAATTAATTAGAAATTTATCAATTATTCTCAACCGCTAGATATATTGAACGGTGAGGATTAAACCAAACCCAAAAAAGTGGGTACACCGAAGTAGTCACTATATATATATAATTGTGTTTACAAACCCTCACGCCAACATGACTATTTTCACAATGGTATTTAGAATTAAAAATCCTGCATCATAACCAACTGCTTCCACAAATAGTTTATATTCCCAAGCTCATCATATACCAAGAAACCCTCCTCCATCTTCCTCATTACCTACTACCTCCCTTTCACCCATTTAAAACCACACCGCCGCTTGCAAGAAAAGAAGTAAGAAAAAAAATGGAGAGACGAGGAGTTCCCATTTCATCCATCATCATCTTCATACTCTGTCTTCTCCTATCGTCATCAGCAACAACAGTTCCTGTGGCTGCACAATCACAAAACGCAGACTCGTGCTCGTCAAACGGCGCTCTCGTCGGCCTCTCCGGCTTGCCCTTCGACCCTTCCTCCCTCCGCCAGTGCCTCTCTGCTTGGACCTCCCGCAACTACATCCTCCGAGTAACTCTTTCTCTCTTTCTCTTTCTCTTTCTCTTTCTCTTTTCTTCCTTCCACTCTGCGGCCACATGCATGTCAAATTTGTCAAGCGACGTGTGTGTGTTTGGACAGTACTCGCAGGCGTCATCCAACGTGTGGAACTTCCTCCTGTCGGCCCCCGATGTGAACTCGTACGTGGCGGTGGGGTTCTCGCCGGACGGGCAGATGGTGGGGTCCAGCGCGGTGGTGGGGTGGAACGCAGCGGACGGCAGCGGCGGGCAGGTGAAGCAGTACTACCTCGGCGGGCAGACTCCCGGGCAGGTGGTCCCCGACCAGGGAAACCTGGTGATCGCCACGTCAGCGATCGTCTCCCAGCAGTCCAGGCTGTTCATGGCCTTCCAGCTCAACGCCTCGCAGCCGTCCGACACGGTGCTCTACTCGCTGGGGCCCGCCGGAACCCTGCCGGCGGCGCCCGGGTACGCGTTGACCGAGCACCGGGATAAGGTGGCCACCACGTTGAACTACGTCACAGGTAACCTGCCTGCCTGCTTACAGCCTTCCTTACAGGTTTTTGTTAATTGGATTAATTAGTTGGTTTTGTTAATTATGATAATGGCGGGAGGCAGAGACGAATAATAAATTAAGTGATAATTAATGCAAGGGATTAGAACTTAATTAGAATAATAATAATGGTGTTCTCTGCTTCAAAGGTCGTTACCCGGCCACCATGATTGCGTTACCAGCCATGTGAATTGTGAAGGGCGAGCATATCGTTCTTATTCATTTTTTTTCAACTTTATTAAAATAATGGAAGTTATATATTAAGCTTTTTGTTAATGTCTGATAAAATGATAATGGAGTCCTAATTTAAAAACATATATGTGTGTGGCATACACTTCGTCATGGTGCAGATGCTGGGATTTATAAGAAATATAAAATCAAATATATATATTTACAAAGGAGATAGTAGTTGGAGGTCAGATACATGGTATGGTTTGCATTATAGTCAGATCGAATTAGTATAAGATTATATTGCAATAAGCAAGGATAATGAAGGTCAGAATGAAATAAAAAAGTACGTATTTGATAATATTTTGTTTAGCATTTTTTTTTTTTGGTTATGCTCTTTAAGAAGGTACTTGGAGTAGAAAACTGTGCCATAAATTAAACATTTTGAATTCAACTATTAAAAAAGCGAATCTAATTTGTTCAAATGGTGTTATAAACCAACTAATATTAATAACTCGAGGTGATAGCAAAGTTATTATGAATTTTATATCATTCTCTTACATACACGTCCCCTTAAAATAAAGTCAGCTCACGAGTTTGAAGTTTGCACATGCTTATCATACTTCGTGCTTTAATCAACTATCAATATTGGGGGTCGTGGAAATTAGAACACCTGACCACCTGGCCGAACCAGTTGTGAATCCCTGTCATAAACAGTTATATTTCGACAAGTTGGTAATTTATGACATGATATCAGAGCTGATTTATCTTTGAGATCACGTGTTTAAATTTCGACGACCTCTAATACTAACCATTGTATTGAAGAACATAGTATATGCCGGGCATGTGCCAACTTTAAGTCAATGAATTGACTTTCATTTGAGAAATATGTAAGAAAGTAATTAAATACTATACATAAAATTCCGTCAAATAACTCTGAGTTTATTAATAAGATGCAAGCAGATTTGGTGCTCAAACCCTAATAATGGCATCAATGTATATATTCGATTGTTGATATACAGTCCATTATCTTCTTTGTCCCCTGGTCATAGAGATTATCCATCTAATCTAACCTACTTCATCTTCTTACACTCCTCTTTCATTCTCTTATTGCTTAAAATGAGGACAAAGCGTGGTAATGATCAATTGTTTGACAAACCCTCTATTCTTTTTCTCCCATGATTTGTCTTTGCACATGATTCTCCTCCTGACTTTTGAAGTTCGGTGGCATATGATATGATATATATGGACAAATTTGAGATGAGTACTTTGATTATCGGTTGGTACCATTTCTTAATTGTTTTGCTAGCCTAGCACAACCTTTTCCCCTACCAAACTAGGGCCCAATAACAACTTCTTTCTTTCCCACATGCCGGTAGTTAGTTAGATCATTTGCTTGAAAACTGGAAGCCTTCGAAAACACTGGCGGACACCGTGAGTAAATATTCTCAGAGGTTTCCCTTTTACAAATTTAAATTTAAAAACCAATTGTAAATTTTTAAAATTAGTATATGATTTTTCTTAAACAATATATCAAATTGGTAAAAGTTGTAGCTAGCGTAATATCACTAGGTGTTTTTTATGTTGTTATTTTTTTAAAGTACAATTAGTGTCTATCTTATTCAACAAATCTCGTTCAATATATACTAGAAAATGATTTGGAACCTGATCGTGAAACACCCCGACCCTTTTAAACAACCGAAATACCCATGACTCCTAAGCTGGTTAAAACGAAGGTAAAAACAAATTCAAATACTACTTATTCATTTCCAAGAAAAAAACATCAAGTGCAATGCCCTAAATAATTGGGCGACCACAATCCTTAAGATCTCAACCTAATCTTCAGTACATGCTCAAATCATAAATGCAATAACTAAACAAATCTAACTACGTCTCCTAACCGAGCTCCTCGAGATCTCGTCAATGCTGGTGAGGCTGCTCGCCTCGCCCGGTCTCTTCTCATATTACACATCCGCTATCCCTTCTTCAACCTGGTGAGTGATAATGGGTCAATCCTGTCATTATTATAGCCTAATCCTTACCATAAGCATTTACTTAATATTTAACATTATTAGAATTTCCCTCTTACAGGAAAGTCGTTCTCGCTTTCATTCTTTGTAATTTATTCCTCTAATTAACTTATAGGAGTTCTCTACTCCTATTCTTGACTCATACTCATAATCACTAGAGACCACCGTGTTACTCATCATCGTTCGGTGTCGCTACCTCAAAAGCGATGGTACTGCGTTACGTCTCGCTGTCCAGCACCATGCCCAGCCAACTACTGGGTTACGTCTCGTCGTTCACTAGTGACCCAAAATATGTGATCAACTGTTGTGTTACGTATCGTCGTCCAACAGTTATCTGATCAACTACCGTGCCCAGTAGTGATCCAACCGCCCGAGGGTTCCCTTACTTAACTGAGACCATTCATACATCATCACACACATTCACATGCATAGCACAACGCATGCTTCCACCTTCAGTAGTCGGTGAGGTACCTCAAATATTAATTGTGCATAACTAACTAAATTAATGAAATAACTTGAAGTAAAAGACATAAACTAAAGGATCTCGATGAAAATTTTACCCCCTTTACACTCACGTCATTCGCTGACCTTGCTCGATTGATATGACCCCTCTTTACTGCCAGTGGATATATGCCAATGCACGAAATTGCACAATCAGTCTCCTCATTCTTATCCTCCTTTTGTACTCCCTCCTATTAAGTATTTAGGCAAAACTTAGTTCACTTCTCTACCAACGTTACTAGTCAAACAACCTCCAATCCGGTTGGTTCAAATTCCAAACCGTTCGACCTCTCCTAAGTTTTGTCACCCAATTCTGGAAAATTATGCTTCTCTCTTGCGTATAAACCGAGAACTTCTTCCTTTCTCCCAACTCCCTCTCGTTTCTTCCTTCTGTGCCTCGACCTTGGACTTTTAATTACCCAAATCATTACCGAAACAAAAAAAAGAGGTATCACAGATCTCTATTCCATTATGAAGTTTTGTTTTGTTGTCACAAATTAATACAAGTTTCAGAAGCTAATAGACCGATGAATATAAGAGATTTAATTTTGTTTTCACCATCAACTCAGCTAATTCATCAACTCCTTTCAACTTTAGAAATTTCTCATCATTCTTAACACAATGGTAATCATGTTTGAAGGTTGGATTGGCCAAATTAGAGGGGGTCTTACCGGACTTATAAAAGATAGTTGCCCCTAGTCGAGAATGATGCTTCTTTTTTATTTATTTATTTATTTATTTATTTATTCAAGTGTTGATAAATTGAACAATTTGGTTGGAGTTTATTTAATGTATAACTACATTTAATGTTTTCCAGTCTTACTTTATGGGCTTTAGATTCCAAGTCAACTTCAAATTTTTTTTGGTATGCTTATGATTACTTCGAAGAAGTCATCGTGATTTGGAGAGAATGATTGTCGATCGCGCTGTTCGAAAAATAATCGACCGAATTGTACACTTGCGTTGTCTCAACGTGAAAATCATGAGCTTAAATTTGTGCATCACACTTATAGATAGTGTGTGTGTGTGTGTGAGGGCATAATTAATGTTTGAAACGTTTGTAACGTGCAGGGCAAAGTAGTAAGGAGGGGAGGCCATATACGAGACTGAGGAGGAGCCATGGCATTTTGAACATGCTGGGTTGGGGGATCCTCACCATAATAGGTGCCATCGGAGCTCGATATTTCAAGCACATGGATCCCGTCTGGTTCTACGGCCATGTTTTGGTTCAGGGCTCGGCTTTCATCATGGGTACCGTCGGCGTCATTGCCGGGTTGGTGTTGGAGGGCAACCTTAGTGCCAATGTCTCGACCCACAAAGGGCTTGGCATTTTCATCCTTGTCTTGGGCTGCCTCCAGGTGCATATAACCGATCCAACCCCGGCCCATTCTTTTCCATTTCACCCCTTTGATTAAAATCAGTTTAATTACCTTTTGTTCTTGAATATAATATAATGTACGAGTTTTCAGGTGATGGCGATCTTGATTCGGCCAGAGAAATCATCCAAGTACAGGTCTTATTGGAATCTTTACCATTATGCGGTGGGAAGGATACTAATTGCTTTCGCCGTCGGCAACGTTTTCTACGGGATCCATTTGGGCGGGGAAGGGAGTGGATGGAACGGCGGTTACGGAGTTGCTCTTGCCGTCCTCTTTGTTATTGCCATCACCCTGGAGCTCAGGATGCGGCTCAAAGAATAATTAATTAATTAATTAATTAAACATGGCTGACTATTGTGCAACTTTTGTCGACGGAATATTGTTGTATACATATATTTTTTATATTGATATGGTTGTTAAATTTTAAAAATTATGTGCAGGGATGTGCTCTGTATGATCAGAATGGGGTGATTAAGGGTGCTTAATTTGGTAATTTGATTTCATTGGATTTTGGTTGTTCATTTATATGATCAGTATAAGGTGATTAGGGTGCTTAATGTGGTAATATGATTTTATTGGTTTTTGGGTGTTCATTTATGTATGGTCGTTTGTACTATTTCTCTTTAACTCTATACTAGAACTTTTTGCAAAGATGCTTTTGTTGTGTGTTATTTATCTTTTTTTAGCTCATTAGTTAGAAGTTCCATCCAAACTCGCTACAGAAGAATCAACTCGTTCTCAGTAAGCACGTGTCAATTGTAGGAGCAAGAATTTGACATTGGGGGAGGGGGGGGGGGGGAGGCGAAGTTTCTTATTATCTCAATGTAACGAAGTGTTAAAATTATCAAAATAACAATAATTTTTCTTTTGATGAATAGATGGGTTTCCTTTCATAAAAAATGTGGTGCTAACAAGTACCCTGTTAGCTAGGTAAATCCAACCAAATGGCAGAAGACAAAAACTACAAGGAGCAGCTACTAATACAGCCTCTGAGACAGAAAACCAATCACCCCACCCAGAACTGACTAAGTCTCTGACTACCCAGAAAACATTCAACTTCGGATTTAATCATCTTCAGAAGGGTAGAAAGAGGATTTGCTTTACCAGCATACATACGTCTGCATCTTTCCCGCCATACGTGACTAACCCAACTCTGCCAGATAACTCTCCCCGTTTCAGCAGCTTCTGTTGTAGCACTTAGTTTCGAAATGATCCAAGTAACCTCATCATCCCAACTCTGCAGGTTATGGATGGAAATCACCCTTCCAAGGAGAGAAATATAAATTTGCCTTGAAACAGACCAGTGCACAAAATATGGTCCCTATCCTCAACCCCTGCATCACAAAGACAACACTTCATGTCTCGCGAGAACCCCATTTATGCATTTTTGCCTTAGTATTTATGCTATCTCTCATAACCAGCCATGTTAAAATCCGGTTTCTAGGGATATCTCTGCCCTTCCAAACAATTTTCCACCAACTTACAGTATTCCTAGCAGGACGAAGGAGCTTCCAAACCCTCTTAATAGAAAAGAGATGCATAGGAGAGTTGTCCAACAGAAAAACATCCCCCCTAACCGAAATGTAAGGTCCAACTCTGCTTCGAAGTTTCAACAACTTACTCCAGTTCCAAGAACCAGATGAGCAGGCATATGTCCAGAAGTTTCTGCCCTTAAGCTTGTATCTATTGATCCAGGCTACCCAGATGGAGCCTTCCTATAATAAGATCATCCAGATGTGCCTTGTCATACAAGCCTGGTTAACTATATAAATCTCTGAATCCCAGACCTCCTTCCCTTTTGGGGAAGGTAAGATGCTTCCAAGCCACATTAGCTCTGAGTTTGACCCCAGCTTCAACCCCCCAGATAAAGTTGCTACAAATTTTCTCCACTTCCTTGATAACAGCTTTCGGGAGAAGAAAAACAGACATCCAGAAGTGAGTCAGATTGTAAAGAACAGTGCCAACCAGTTCAATTCGACCTGCATAAGAGAGAGTCTTTGCCTGCCAACTCCACACCCTAATCGCAAGCTTTTCAATCAATGGTCGACAAGCAATTAAACTCAGCTTGCCAGAGATTAGGGGAACTCCTAAGTAACGAACAGGAATCTTCCCAACTGATATCCAAATCTATATGCTTTTAATTTCCTTTCATCCTGTCCAGACCTCCAAAGAAAATCTCACATTTACTAGGATTTGACTTGAGGCCTGAGACCATTTTAAACTGAGTCAGAACACACTGCAGTTCTTGGATACTATCATTTGATGCATCCGAGAAGACCAACAGGTCATCAGCAAAACATAGATGAGTGAGCTGAACCCCTTTACACATGAGGTGGTAAGGAAAGCACCCCTCAAAAGCTGACTTATCAATGAAACAGGAAAAAACTTCCATTGCTATTGAAAAGAGATAAGGGGATAGGGGATCTCCTTGTCGAAATCCCTTCTTAGCTGGGAAATAACCCACTAAACCTCCATTGAAACAGACACTAAGCATAGGTGTCCCCACACACATACGAATCCAGTTCACAAATCTTTCTGGGAATCTCATACATTTGAGAACTTGAAAAATGAAATTCTAGTCAAGTGAATCAAACGCCTTCATCAAATCTATTTTTATAACACATTTGGGAGAAACATTCTGATGAAAATATTTGCTAACTAACTCATGGGCCAACAATATATTCTCTCCAATTAATCTACCCTTAACAAAAGTTGTTTGGGTTTTGCTGATTAGAAAAGGGAGGAGAGAACTAAGTCTGTTAGCAATGAGTTTAGATATGCACTTATAGAGAATATTGCAACAGGAAATTGACCTAAAAATTTTCATCTCATCTGGGTTTGGGACTTCGGGAATCAGAGAAAGAATTGGTGTATTAATAGGTCTAGAACTTTGTCCTGTTCAAAGCATAATTGTGTAGTTGAACATAACTCAGGACCTATGAGAGGCTTGGCATATTGAAAGAAAGCAGCAAAGAACCCATCCGGACCTGGGCTCTTATCTCCATCCATAGAAAAATCACCTCCTTTATCTGCTCATCAGTAAACGGCTCACAAAGCCCCTCAATCTGCTCTTCTGAGAGTTTTCTTCTCAGCAAAGCATCAAAGAATTCGTCAGACTGAGCTACAACTTCAGAGTCCTCTACACCCAATAATCATTTATAGAATCTAACTTCAATTTGAGTCATCTCTTCAACATCATGAATTGGCTCTCCAACCTCATTCTTAAGAACCCTTATAGTACTTCTTTTCTGTTTTACTCTAACAGCACGATGAAAAAAGGCAGTATTCATGTCCCCTGTTTTTAGCCAGTTTTCTCTTGACTTCTGCTTGCAGAAAGACTCCTCTGCATCTAATAGAACTCTCAACTCCATTCCCAACTTCTTTTTAGTTTCAAATAGATATGCAGATGGAGCAACAAGGGCCTGTTGTTGTATGTCATGAACTTCCATCTCCTTCTCCCTCACTCTCTCAGTTAAATCTGAAAACTCCTCTCTATTTAGCTTCCTCAATAGGTTTTTTAAGTTTTTCAACTTCTAACTGACCCTGATCAGTGGATGACCAATAACATTACTTCTCCTAGCCTCTTCCAATAACTCATCAAACTTAGCGTGATGAAGCCAAAACTTGAAAATTTTGAAAGGCTTCGGAAGCGACTTCAACGTAGCAGTTGTATCAACATACATATGGGACAATGATCCGAGACTCCATGGGCTTGGAAATGCACCTTGCTGTCTTTAATTGAGTCCAGCCATGAAAAATTGACTAGAACTCTATCCAAACGCTTAGCAATTGAATTAGCTGTCTGTTTGTTCAGCCAGGTAAACCAAGGACCAGTGGCCTGATGTTCCTCCAACTCTAGATCATTAATCCATTCATTGAAAAATGTCATAGCTGCATCTACTCTAGGGGAGTTTGAAGCTTCTGAGGGATGTCTTATATCATTGAAATCCCCCATCACTATCCAGGGAACAACAATTACTCTAATCCTTCGCAATTCATTATAAAGAAACTGTCTGGGAGCCTCATCATTTGCTACATATACTACTGTGAAAAAAAGGTTTTGTACTCCCACCATAAACGGAACAAATTGGTCAGGAGAGTGCAGAACAGTAAGCGGAATATTCTAATCAAAATATGATTAAAGCCAATCAAAATATGACCTAGACTAAAAATATATAGAATTATACCATGACAGGTTTAACATAAAAGATGATTGTTGTGTAACACGTTCTATTTTCACTTAATATAATATTCAAACTAAAATTTTACCGGTCAACGTTGATTAAAACAGAAAAAAAACATACAATTCAATATTGTGTAGACCATCATATTTTAAAAGCGAACAAAATATAATATCTAACTCACATCATTCAATTCTATCGTTAACTCTAATAGGGTCTATCAACATTAGCCCTTATCATCCAAAAGCTCATACATAGTTTGAGGTTCTCCTACATGACCTCCATTTCGTGGATCCCCCCCCCCCCCCAAAACATAGTTTGAGGTTCTCCTACATGACCTCCATTTCGTGGATCCCCCCCCCCCCCCCCCCCCAAATGCCATAATTACCAAAAAAAAGACTCATATAGTGCAATGGATCTGCGTGGTCCTATAGTTGAATGGTGACAAGTGCAATAGATCAAATTCACTATCTCGAATAGGGCTAGAAACGGTGTGGTCTGGTCCAGACCGAACCATATATGCGGTCTATGGTCCAGACCAAGAGGTTAGGGTATAGACCACAGATCATACTACAGACTATATGATCCAGACCAGACCATGCCTGTGCGGTCTGGTCCGGTACGGTTTGGTCTAAGTAGACCACAGTGAAGGAAAAATGAACAATTTAATTAGTCAACCGCACAAAAAAATTGAACCAATAGCTAAGATTTTTTTTTTCTTTTCTTAAAACTTAAATTCCTACATGCATGGATAATTTTGACACCATAAATCTTAGTAAATAATAAAGATACAAAATCAAAACATCTCAGCTTGTACCATAATGTCATAAACATTTACGTAATGTTATATGGAGACATGATTGTCTCTACTCTCTAGTGAAATGTGGTTGTTAACGAAGTAGGAGATGAGATTCTCAAAATTAAGATTGAGACTTGGGTATCATTGTGGGAGTTGGGAGAGTGGTCTAGTGGGTTGCGAACATATATTGAGAAGTCTGCTGGGTCCACGGTTTGGTCCGGTAAACCGCGGTCTAGACCATACCAGACCAAAAAATCAAAACATCATATAATACAGATCATACTTAACAGTCTACGGTCCGGATCAAGCTGTGCGATCCAGTTTAGACCATGATTTTCCAAACGGTAGGTTATACTTTCCCAGCCCTAATCTCGAAGTATAAATTTTTAACCTTGCTTATTATTCTTCGCATAATAACTACCCAAGACTATAAAATTCCGTTAAAAGAAATGTAACACTTTAGTCCCTTAGATTGTGATTTTTTTTTATACCCAGGAACCTCAGCCCCACGTGCCACTTTGTGACAGCGGGTCCTACTAAACCTGGGGGCCACCTGCATTTAATTTGACGCCAACGGGGCTTCGCCCCCAGCAGCCTTGTACCTCCGGGAACACCAACGAGCCTCGCTTGGATTCGAACCTGGGATCTGCAACTCCCAAGTCTTCACTGTT